TTCTAGCGTTAGCTTCTCAGCGTGCAAATGAGCTCTTGCGATTATTCACAAGCCTTTCAGATTCATAAGCCCAGGTTCAGACAGAGAAACTTTTGCCCCGGCAATTCGTTACTTGTTGCAGAGGGAGTAGGGTTGCCAGATTTTTTATGCGCGAAATCAGTACGTCAGACTTTTCAGTACATTTTTTCAAATCAAAATTATGAATGTAAGTAACAGATAATACTTTAAAACGCCAGAGCACTTATTTTTAACAATATTTTGGTATATAAATAAAACATAGTTCATAAAAAATAGAAAGGTAGACAGCAAGTCAACTTTTGCAGGCGATTATCGCCTGTCAAAAATGGCTTCAACAAAAAGCAGCCTACGTTATAGACAAAAACCATTCGAATATTCAAATTTGCTGTTATTAAACTGAAAGATATTTTCGAGATAACTAACAACACTCGCCAAAAAAAGTCAGCCTTCTTTTTAAATAATTTAAGCTTCATCATATTATCGCAACTGGTGCGTAACGACCCGGCGATGTGCCCATATAGCGATTGATCTTTTTGTAGTATTAATTTCTTGGGCATATCAAACATTATTTGAAACATGTCAACTATAATTAAATTATTTTCTTCTAACTTTCTACAGTGCAGTTTAAGCAAGTTCCAACGTTGTGTAAAAACCGTAAGACAATCATAAAGTATTTTGTTTGAATTGAAAATTCAGTACAAATTTTCAAAAATCAGGACATTAGCGTAGTGATTGAAGAAATGAATAAAATCACTACAGTACGTCTGGCAACCGTAAGAGGGAGTGACGAGGAAGGGGGAAGAGCACCGAGTTGCTCGTGCTCGGGCAACACGCTTTGTGCTTTCACAGCTGACAGCAACAATTGTTTACAAAAGAATTGCTCTGTGTAAATGCGAAGGGAAACACCAAAAGAGAAGTTTCCGAAAACGAGCAACAAAAGTGTCTCTGTGTGAACCTAGTGTAATGTAAGAGAAACGAAGTCCAATATGAATTTGAGCTCATAAGCCAAACACTGGTGAATACTTTCTCAACACAAGCTAACTAGCTCACAAGCTGCGGCTCTCTTCTTCATAAAAATAAGTGAGCGGCAGTCACACCTTCTCCCTGATTATTTCGCTTGCTTCGCACTTAGTTTCTCGCAAGCAGCTCAACGTTGTGTTTTAATTATTCAGTGCAGGACACTGGTGTGTGTCCAAACAAATTCAACACTCGGAACGGAGTGCTAACATCAACCCGTTTTCTTTTTTCTCGACGCATGCCGCTGCGAAACACTTGAAACTCCTTGTCGCTCGAATAAACATATTGCCTTTCTGCTACTGTCGAGTGCTGTTGTCAGTACTTGTTGTGGCCAACTACATACCTACATACTACGGTCATCAAACTGCCTAAATTCTGCCTTATTTGCTGTCAGGTAGCGCTGCTCATCTAGTTATGTCTTAAGGCCCCGCCAGATAGAAATTATTTTCTGCATCACAGGGATGCTTTTGACTTACATCCAAGTTAACTCTGTGATTTTGAATATAATGCGCCACATTGGCAACGCATGCATTGCCGCAAATGATAAAAATCGCCCAACTCTCAACTTTTGCCGCAAGTAAGTCCGGCAATACTGTAAGCTGTCATATATGACATTTGAGTACAATTGACATGGTCTCGCGCGCTTTTTATTAAATTCCCGCGGTTTTTTTTTATAAATTTATAAATCTAATTGTTTATACAATGTAATTTTTACTTATAGAGGCAGTGTAAATGCATCCATATTTGTTCGACAAAGGGGACTTTTCATATCGAAGTAAGCTGGCAAACGAGAAGGCCTGGAAAAGCGTAGCGGCTGCCACGAATGGGAATGGTAAGTTAAATGCTAATAATATTGTTATGTATGGCAATAAGATGCTAGTGTTTTCTTATAAACATTTTCAATTGTAGTTGAGCAGTGCCAGAATAGATGGAGGTCCCTTCGCGACCGATATCTTAAGGAGGTGAAAGCTGGGAAGCTGCCATCGGGAAGTGCTGCAGCAGAAGGAAGCGGTTGGACATTTTTTTAGCCTATGTCGTTCCTGCAGCGATACGTTGCCCCTCGCAGGTTAGTTCAACATTAAAACAATTGTTATCCTAAATGTAAAAATATAAAGCATCAGCGTCTCACTCTTAAAAGAGGATTCCATGTTCGGTGCGAGATAAGCCGTACACAACCTTGTAATCCTAAATGTAAAAGTACAAAGCACCAGTATTTTACTGCCAAAGCAAAGTAAATAATATTGGCCAATATGCACAACTATGGTCAGATACTAATTTCCAATCAGGTTGCGCCAAATATACATTTCCTTCTACTTTGCTTTTGAAATAAAACTGATGCTTTGTACTTTTACATTTACACCCAAAAAAATTTGTGGTTTAAACTAAACGAAAACGTAGGTTAGTATGACTCTAATCGCTAAATATGGTACAAATAACCAATAAAAATAGTTAAAAAATTTCTGAAGATGCAGTTAAAAATTTAAAATTTTACCAAAAAATTGTTAATTTTTAACTACGGTTAGTTGGTTGATCTAATCGTAAAAGTAGGTTTGTATGGCTCCAACCCCCAAAAATGGTAAAATTTACTAATATTAATAGTAATGCCCAAACAACCACAAAAGCAGTAAAAAATACTGTAAAAATAGTAATATATATTACCGTAAAATTAGTAGAATTTACTATTTTCGTTGTTAAGCTACCACAAAAATTGTATTGTAACTAAAATTGTGGTACCAAACCGCAAACATTGTTACAATACAATTTTTATGGTACTTTACAGCGAAAATAGTAAATTCTACACATTTTGCGGTAGCACTACTATTTTTTCAGTATTTTCCTACTGCATTGGTGGTTGATTTTAAATGCAATGTTGCCATGTTGCCAAAACATTGCTATTCTGAAAAATAAATACATTATTAAAGATGATTTATTCGAAACAATTTATTTTTTAAGAAATAAACACATAAAATAACATGTTAAAAACGAATAATGCACAAAAAGGTACAATGTTAAAGCGTTTTGAATTTGTTTTTCTTATTAAGTTAATGCATACCAGTCTTTCTGCCATATAGATATACATATGTACATATGTTTATAATTTTTCTTAACCTAAGCATGTTTTTTTGGTAATGAAGTTGTCCGTGTGTATATATTTTTTAATAAAATTTTGGTCTTATATATAAATTTCCATTTGGAGAAAGATTTATGTGTAAGGGTGATTTGTAAAATTCCGGTAGGGCTAAGACATAAATATTGTTTTCTTCGAGTGAAACCAAATATGGTTGAAAATGTTCCGAAAATTGCTCAGTTTTATGTTTAATGTAAACAAACCTTACTTCGGAGTTTTCAAGTAAAATTATGTCCTTTAGCTCAAAAATACTTAAAGCCTTTGAAAGTAAAAAATAACCCACTTTATATAAAGTCTTTTTTATAGTTGTAAATATATTGCCGGCCGCTGTGGTGTAGTGGTAAGCAGTGCGCGCTTCCACTCCGCAACGCCTGGGTTCAAACCCTGGTCAAAGCAACATTGCAAAAAATGTAGGAAAAAGGTTTTTTCTTAACAGTGGTCGTCCCTCGGCAGGCAATGGCTAACCTCCGAGTGTATTTCTGCCATGAAAAACAGCTTCTCATAAAAATACAATTGCCGTTCGGAGTCGGCGTAAATCTGTAGGTCCCTCCGCTTTGTGTGACAACATCAAGGCGCACGCCACAAATCGGAGGAGAAGCCCGGCCAAACACTAACATGTGTGTAAGCGCCAACCTATTATTATTATATTATATATATTGTTGTATGTTTTGGTGTTGAAATTCAATACCCACTGCGAAAATAGGTAAGCACCTTACGAGGTAAGCCATATTTTCTTTCAGTTTTTAGTACCAAAATTGTCATCATGGCCAATGTCATCTACTAATAAAGCGCAAAATGAACACCTCCGGCGACACATTACGTTGTCAGTTGCAAAATAACGTGCAGCCGAAGTTATTTCCAAGCACCGAACTACTCCGAGCGACTGCTCTGCATTACACGTAACTTACTTTGTAAAGCGGCTCAGAAGTATGTCTGATACCAAATGTACATTCCAAATTCCTACTTACATAAGGCGGCCACGTCTTTGTTAAAGTAAGGGACATTCGTTAGTGATGTAGTAAGGACAGCCGGGTGAAGTGTAAGTTGCTGGTAAGGTATTGCCCTATAGTTTCTTAAAGAACTTTTTGAAAAAAGTCACCTCAGATGACAAATTAGATTAAGCTTAAAAAATCTGCATTAAAATATTTAAAAATCTTTTTTACTTTTTTCAAAGATTGGTTTACGAAAAACTTGAATAACTGGGCCAAAAATGTTCTGAATTTGGACTTATGGGATCTCAGTAGAATGGTATTTTCAGACTGTTTTTATTTCTGGCCAAAAGAACGTCATTCGCGTTCCATCTTGTTTTTTCGAATACCAACATATCTTAATTCAACTTTGAATGACGTTCGTTCATCCTACCTTTCTCTTCCATCCTTTGAATGAGTTTATTAGCAAAGAAATGAAAAGAATGAGAAAATACCTTTCCAATGACACCTCTTAATTCTAAATCGGAAGAGTTTAGGTTCAGTTATTCAAGTTTTTCCTATACCAATCTTTGAAAAAAGTTAAAAAACAGCATCAAAAATCTCATCATTACGATTCCGTTCAAAATTTTTTTTTAATATTTTTATGCAAATATTTTAAGCTTAAAGCGTTTTGTCATTTGAGGGGATTTTATCAAAACAAATCTTTAAGAAACTATTTTTATTCATAAAAAACTCAATTTTTGGAGGTATTTTCAAATCGGTCCAGCTCACTTAAATCTTAATATTTTTCCGAAATATTTTGGTGGACGTCTTGAAATAAAACTTTTATAATTCCAATGGAAAAATAGTACCGATTTGTTTTTGTATGAGGAGTGATGCAGTTTAATGTATATTTTCAATTCTCTATGTTTAGATTCAAATTTAAAGCACCAGAGATTCTTTAATGGTCCAACGTTTTTTATAAACGTGGGATAGTGAATCACAAATGAAATTTTGGTTTTAGTGTAGTTCCGAAAAGTTCGAAGCTTATGGTGTTTTTCGATTTTCTCCTGCATTTCGTTTAAAAGATTGTCATCAAATTCTGTCCAATTTTCCCTCACTTTCATAAGTATTACATAAAGTATCTTTTAAAATGTTAGGTAGTTCGAAAAACCTTTTATCTGAAATTTTATTGGCATGAGAGTAACTTTGCTTTGTTTTTCTGTAAAAACTATTTCATTATTTAAAATTACGGGTAGTACCCTATTAACGATTTCGAATTCTTTAGCAGCTTCCCAAGCATCATTTTCTTTAAGAACTTTTACAAATTTATGAAAAGTTTTAATTTTATAAAATGGATCTTTGAAAAATAAAATGAGACTCCTTATATTCTGCATATCTATTTCCTGTTCGTTCTTCAATAAATCTTTCTCCACAAAGGTCGCTGGCTGGCGGTAAAAATATTAGTTGCGTTAAATCATTCACAAGTACATCTATGTCTTTTCTGGTAAAATTTGATTTGTCGTGCAGATTAGTTAAAAAACTTAAGAACAATTGTTTCAAAAAAAAATCGTTTGAAAATGTTAACAATGGTATTTACACAAAAAGCATGAAACCATATTGAAATAATATAATAATTAAGGCTTATAAACCCATTATTTTAGGTTGTTAATTAAACATAGTACATTAGGAGATGGCTTGTCGTCTTTTAAATGTATACAATAAAAATATTTTTGAACGAACATCCAAAACTCTAAGCCAGAGTATTTTAAATTCAATACATGAAACACTTTAAAACAGGTATCAAAGGCGCTTAAAAAACAAGGCAGCTCATATTTGATTTCATCGAAATAAACATAAAATTTTGAGTCACTTAAATTATAACCAACTGCAATAACAATTGGTTGTAAGCTCTCACCGCGGTCGTAAAGAGAACTCTTCAGCTTTTCTAAACTGTTTTCAACATCGTTGGCCGTAATTACATGAAGGAGAAATGATATCTGGGAATCTTTGATGGTAGACCTGTAAATCTTTTTGACGCTATTCGCTTTTCGTTTTATAGTTGCACGCAGCAAAACATGTAGTGGTAGCGCTATGAGTTGGTCAGATCCTACATATTTAACAAAAATTTATAAATTAAGTGCAACCCTTTATAAAATAAGTTGACAAACCTTTTATCTTCTGATCTTATTTTTTCCAGTTGCTGCAAGAGCGCCGGGTCCGACAACTTCTCACTTAAACACTCAAATATGACCAATCAACGCACCAATTTTTGCACGTAAAAATAAAAAAATAAAAAATAGGAGAGTCACAAATTTATTAGTGAAAATGTCCCAAGTTGCGTAAAAGAATTACTAAAAATCAACGGCATTTTTAGCAACCAAAAAATTCACTAGTCTGGCGAATTTTCCTAAATTTTGGACAAAGTTTGAAGCTTATATTGTAATGGTTTACATTATAAGATGAATTATATAAAAAAATGTATTAAAGCTGAATAGAAAACATAATAAAGGGTGAACACACCAAAACTGCGACACTTAGAAATTACTACCAGAAACAAACTAGCAGGCTTTGAATTTATTTTTTTTTGTATTATATAACTTGGAAGTTTAGATGTTATTAAAATGTTAAAATATTAGTTATTATTTGCTCCATATGCAAGTGATCGGTATTTTCATCGCACACGCGCCATCATGTTCTGCACGACTGCATCATCGACTTTACGCGATGCGCACAACTACTTTGTTTTGCACTCTTCAATATTTTTCACTGTTTCACCTGTTTTCTGCAAGATTTCTTTGACAATTGACCAATATTCCCCAATAGGACGTGGATCTGGGCTATTGGGTGGATTGCAGTCGTGAGGTACAAAATTGATGTTATTTGCATTATACCACGGCAATGTGTCCTTGGCATAGTGGCAGGTTCCCACGTCCGCCTAGAACAGTGGCCTACTCCTTATCTGTTGATAAATGACAGTAGACGCTTTTGAGGCACTCATCCCGATAAACTTGGTCATTCATTGTCCCGGATGGGAAAAAAGGGCTGGTCTTACGGCCACAGGATCAAATAGCTTACCAAACCATGTGGTTTTTTGGAAATTTGGACTTCATTTTCAGCTTACAACTTTCAGGGGCATCTTGACGACTTGCACCAGTATAAAAATCTTGACCTGCAATATATTTTGAATTTTTATAGCAGTAGGTTTCGTAGTCCATAACAATGCAGTTGTATTTTTTAATTTAGAATTCATACAACTTCCGAATGCGGGATTTCGCTGTAACATTCTACTTTGCACCTCGGTCTGGCGCTGTTTGAGCTGTAGAACATCTCAATGAAGCTTTCCACTTTACCTTTTGTACGAAAAACTGCAATCTGCGTACGGATTTTGCAACATAACGCGACAAAATCTTCGAATTTCGCGAAAACGCACTGAGGACCTTCCGAGCATTGTTTTTATCACTTTGACCATGCTAACCCCCGCTCCCTGGTTACTCGTAACTGCCAGGCCTTATTTGTACCGATTAAAACCCTGCAAACTGTCGAATAGTGCAATCTTTAATTTTTTAACAATTTTACGTGTACTTAAGGCCGGATCATTTATAAACTCGGGCAAAAAGGTTTGTCTCGTTTCTAACTCGGTTGCCAATTTTACCTCAACTAGGAATCGAATTCAAATGAAATTTCTTCTACGTCCAACTAAGGTCATGTGGTCAGCTTATGGTATTTGAATTTCAAAATATTGAATTTGTTTTGGGTAAGTTATAAGCTTCCCAAAGTGTCGCAGTTTTGGCGTGTTCACCCTTTAGTTGTCCAAACTACTCAAAACGTCGTGCCTCTATTTCAAGGAACATCACTGTATAGGTATTGTATAACATTATTTGCAACAAAACAAGATATGTGTTGTACATTATAGCAAAAGGTCCTCTATATAGCGTTCAAAGTCATTTTCTCGTGAAGCTGTTTCAAAATTCACGTCTGGTTTTCGATCCCAAATGTTACCATGACTTTCATGAGTCTCATCATCTAAAGGTTTACTACAAGTACCGATTGGCAGAGACTTTTTCACTGTATTGTCATCAGATCGAAGATCGTTTTCATCAATCTGCATTTTAAGTTTACTCTTTTTGATTTGACGTTCAGTAGATCTTTTTAAGTGCTTAACTTCTCGTTTCCGCGATGTGTAATTTAATTGATCTGAATGCAGAGAACATAGCCGCAATTTGACCAGTGCATTTTTACGATCACCTTGCTCCCGATATGAAAAATTAACTTCCCAGCTTCGCAAGTTTTCTCTCTCTTCACATTTTCTGCTTCCACATTGAAACTGTCCTTTCCCTGTAACGACCTCGTTCTTAGTACGCCAACGAAGAGCAACTTTGTTATCTTTGTGACGAGTTAAGTCTGCTATACAATATTCCTTGAAAGTAAAAATACTGATATTAGATTTGATTTATTGCCTGAGATAAGTTGTAAAGTTTAAAAAATATATTCGTACATAAAATATTTGGATGTGCAATGGGATATTAAAAGAACTACAATCAAAATCAATTACAAAATTTGGACCACTCTAATGAAAATCATCGAAAATGTTTTTTTGGAAATTTCAAGACTCTCCCCCTGTTGTTGTTGTTGTTGTAGCGGCTACTAAGCCCCGTTCGGGGCGGTTCATCCATCAACATTGGGCTGTCCATAGGGACAGGGGCGTTAGCTGAGTGGGATTCTCAGGGCATGTGAAGAGGTACCGGGAGTCATGTGGCGACTCTCCAATGCCGGGCATTGGTTGGGCACATCCTCGTTGATTCTGCTCAGGTAGCTGTTGAGCCTGCGGCAATAGCCAGAGCGAAGTTGGGCTATTGTAGTGCGGGTCTCCCGAGGCAGACAAAGTTCTGTCCCGTCCACGTCCGGTGGTTGTGTGCCTAGAACGGCATTCACAGGGCGGGAGTCTACATAACTTGAGACTGATTCCCTGTGAATGCCGTTCAGGGCCTGTCGGTAAGTTGACGGGTCCAGAGGTTGTTTGATATACCTCTGGACTTCGTCTGTCAGTTCGATGTCAGATGCCTCCTGACGTGCCGTGGCGAGGGCTCTTCCGCGAGCAGTTGCCCGCTGGGATGGCCACGTCTGTAGCTCCCAGCGAGGAACTGCTTGCAAAGCATTAAGTTATGCTCCTTTACCGGGAGCATCTGGGCCTCGTCATGAAGGTGATGTAGAGGCGTCATCAGGAGGCATCCTGTCGCGGTACGTAATGCCGTGTTTTAGGAGGTCTGCAGCTTCATCCACTGCGTCCTGCTAGTCCCCGGCGACCATACGGGCGCTGCGTAGTTTAGAACCGGCCGGCCAATTGCCTTGTATGTTGCCAACAACGTTTCTTTATCTTTGCCCCAAGTGCTGCCGGCCAGCGACTTGAGGACATTGTTGCGGCTCTGTACTTTGTTGACAATTGCGGTTGTATGCGCCGAGAAGGAGAGCAGACTGTCGAAGGTAACTCCGAGGATTTTCGGGTTATTCACCGTCGGTATTGTTACGCCATCGACGTGAATACCCAGCGGCAGTCTGACTTTTTTCGTCCAGGTGGTGAAAAGGGTTGCCGAGGATATCGCAGGGGATAGGGCAAGGCTCCTTGCAGTGAAGAAGCGAGAAAGTTCAGAGAGGTAACCGTTTACTTTTGAGCACAAGTCATCAATTCCATTCCCAGACGCCATGATCGAACAATCGTCAGCATACGAGACTATATTAACACCCTCTGGTGGCTGAGGAAGCTTTGATATGTAATAATTAAACAGTAGCGGGGACAGGACACCACCCTGTGGTACCCCCTGTTTAATTTTACGTGGCTTGCTAGTTTTGTCTCTGAAGATTACTGACGAGTGTCGACCACTAAGGTAATTCGCCGACCACCGTTTGAGTCCCTGTGGGAGTGAGGAGACCTCTATATCATCTAGTAGCGTTGAATGACTGACAGTGTCGATCGCCTTGGACAGGTCCAACGCTACTAGAATTGTTCTCTCACAGGGGCGGTTTCGGTTTAGGCCACGAGTTATCTGAGTGTTTATGGAGTTAAGAGCTGTCGTTGTACTATGCACTTTACGGAACCCATGTTGATGCTTCGCTGGGGTCAGGTGGTTCGTGAAGTACGGGAGCAGCATGGCCTCGGTCGTCTTCGCTACCGGGGAAAGGAGAGTTATCGGGCGATAAGACTCTCCTTTGTTGGCTGGTTTCCCCGGTTTGAGCAGTGGGACCACTCTCCCCATTTTCCAGATGTCTGGAATGACGAGAGTGGCCATAGACAGGTTGAGGACCTCCGTTAGGTACGCTACTCCCGCAGGACCCAAATTTTTCAGCATCAACATGCATATTCCGTCGGGTCCAATGGCTTTGGAGGCTTTCGCCTTCCCGATGGCTACCCTTACCTCACCGCTGGTGAAAACAAGAGGCGCACTAGGTTTTGGCATTTTGTGCAGCCTTCTGGTCACTCGACGTTTGGCTTTATCCACCGGAGGATGCAGAATGAACTGACGGCTAAAATAGCTCGCGCATCTCTCCGGGTCCGACGAAGCGTGGTCACCAAAGTCTATCTCGACTCTGTCGTCGCGCTTCGTCGGGTTGGACAACGACCTCACTCTACCCCCTAATTTTATGCGCTTTTATGAGAAATAATATTGCCTATTTTTATAGACTTTTTTAAAGGTCATTTATAGGTCGCGACTAAGAATGATAGAATACAAGACTGCGCCGTCCTGGGCATTGACATTTGTGTACCACAAGTAAACAAAGAATAGAGCGAAAAGAAGAACGAGTTGAAACTGCCAAAACAGTTCACTTTACAGCGAACGACTGTCGCAATTTAACACATAGCACTTTATTTTATTAGTTTTTACGCAGTGTTCAGCTCAAAAATCACTCACAAATTGCAAATTAACACAATTTAAACTGATTTTTCACTTATAATTCAAATTTCTCTTTCGCTGATTTGTAAACAAAGGTTTATTTACAAGTTACCACAACTGTCAAAATCGGCGAAACCAAAGTAGCGATACCACTGACGGCGCCACCTTTGCTCGCTGCATCGTGGGTCGCGACTTGTCGATTTAGGTCAGAAAATGCAATTTTGTAGATTTAGGAGTTTTTGAATGACTATTTTTGATTTGATCGATGATAAACTAGTCTTTAACGAACACATTGATTATACTGTAGGCAAGATCGCAAAAAAAATATACTTTACGCAGAGAACCTGCAGATACTTGAGTAGAAGGTATAAGACGATGGTATATAGATCTATAATCGAACCTCATTTTATTAATTGTCCAACTATTTTTTCATAATGAGAGATAGTCAAATTTATAAACTGCAAAAGCAACAGAACAGAGCCATGCGATTCATCCTTAGAAAACGTTATGACACACCTATCAGAGACATGTTGGCCGAATTAAATTGGCTGAGTGTTAAACAACCACTTTTTTACTACACAATGCAATTTATTAGGAACATTGTAGATGGCAACTTGCCTGATTACTTAAAAAGCAACATAAAGTATGTCAATAATGTACACTCCAAAAATACTCGAAATAAAAATGATTTCAATCTACCTGCTTATAAAAGGGAAGGAGATAATTGTAACTTGTATTATAAAGGATTAAGTTGCTTTAATGAATTACCAAATGATGTTAAATCAAGCAATATGTATGAATTTAAACAAAAATTGTACAATTATTGTAGGATCCTTCCTATTTAGTGATGCATGGGCAATCTTCCAGACTTTCAATCGCAATGCATACGCACCAAGTATACTGTTGCATTACGCCAACATATACTCTTCCGCACGCATCCGAAAAGCAGCCGAGGTTCAACACAAAACGCATCACTAGATCAAATCTGTGAATCGCTGTTTAGATGCTTGTTTCGCAATTTGCATGAATACGCGGTGGCTCAACCGCAGCCAAATAGTGCAATCATTGTAATGATTTGTTTTGGAAGTATGCCTCATTGTTTTTCACTGCAGTTGGTGTCCATATAAATGGCCTATACTTTATACTTTGTCTAGGCTTTAAATTATAGATCCTAAATTTACATAAATATGTATATGCATATAAGTTTAAGCTAGGCTTAATTAAGCTGTAAGAATTAAATAAATAAATAAATAAATTTTAACGATCGAATATGATGTGAGAAGAGGATATATGGGCTACATAAATGGTAAAATGGTATATAATAATCTATTGTCGGACTTGGCTAAAAAAAACCCTCATTTCTTAGTTTTTTAAATTTCGACCATCGATAATTTCTACAATTTCCAAATATGTAGTTCTATCTAAAACGAAATCTATTTTTAAATAAACTGATAGCTCATTTATTGCAATCGCATAAAAATTGAAGTTAGGCGACTTTTCTTAAATACGGCCTTGAATTTATATCGTAGGGATTTGTCGGGTATCCGGAATCCGGCCGTTTTTCTGTTATCCGACTATCCTGCCGGATTTCCGGATGTCGATTATAGAAGNCGACTGTCGCAATTTAACACATAGCACTTTATTTTATTAGTTTTTACGCAGTGTTCAGCTCAAAAATCACTCACAAATTGCAAATTAACACAATTTAAACTGATTTTTCACTTATAATTCAAATTTCTCTTTCGCTGATTTGTAAACAAAGGTTTATTTACAAGTTACCACAACTGTCAAAATCGGCGAAACCAAAGTAGCGATACCACTGACGGCGCCACCTTTGCTCGCTGCATCGTGGGTCGCGACTTGTCGATTTAGGTCAGAAAATGCAATTTTGTAGATTTAGGAGTTTTTGAATGACTATTTTTGATTTGATNGCTGTCTGCCGAGGCGCGACCGCTGTTAAGAAAAAATCTTTAAGAAACTATTTTTTTCATAAAACTCAATTTTTGGAGGTATTTTCAAATCGGTCCAGCTCACTTAAATCTTGATATTTTTCCGAAATATTTTGGTGGACGTCTTAAAATATAATAGATTTTATAATTCCAATGGAAGAATAGTACCNAATTGTCCAACTATTTTTTCATAATGAGAGATAGTCAAATTTATAAACTGCAAAAGCAACAGAACAGAGCCATGCGATTCATCCTTAGAAAACGTTATGACACACCTATCAGAGACATGTTGGCCGAATTAAATTGGCTGAGTGTTAAACNGATTTGTTTTTGTATGAGGAGTGATGCAGTCTAATGTATATTTTCAATTCTCTATGTTTAGATTCAAATTTAAAGCACCAGAGATTCTTTAATGGTCCAACGTTTTTTATAAACGTGGGATAGTGAATCACAAATGAAATTTTGGTTTTAGTGTAGTTCCGAAAAGTTCGAAGCTTATGGTGTTTTTCGATTTTCTCCTGCATTTCGTTTAAAAGATTGTCATCAAATTCTGTCCTGTCAATTTTCCCTCACTTTCATAAGTATTACATAAAGTATCTTTTAAAATGTTAGGTAGTTCGAAAAATCTTTTTATCTGAAATTTTATTGGCATGAGAGTAACTTTGCTTTGTTTTTCTGTAAAAACTATTTCATTATTTAAAATTACGGGTAGTACCCTATTAACGATTTCGAATTCTTTAGCATCTTCCCAAGCATCATTTTCTTTAAGAACTTTTACAAATTTATGAAAAGTTTTAATTTTATAAAATGGATCTTTGAAAAATAAAATGAGACTCCTTATATTCTGCATATCTATTTCCTGTTCGTTCTTCAATAAATCTTTCTCCACAAAGGTCGCTGGCGGTAAAAATATTCACAAGTACATCTATGTCTTTTCTGGTAAAATTTGATTTGTCGTGCAGATTAGTTAAAAAACTTAAGAACAATTGTTTAAAAAAAAAATCGTTTGAAAATGTTAACAATGTTGTTTACACAAAAAGCATGAAACCATATTGAAATAATATAATAATTAAGGCTTATAAACCCATTATTTTAGGTTGTTAATTAAACATAGTACATTAGGAGATGGCTTGTCGTCTTTTAAATGTATACAATAAAAATATTTTTGAACGAACATCCAAAACTCTAAGCCAGAGTATTTTAAATTCAATACATGAAACACTTTAAAACAGGTATCAAAGGCGCTTAAAAAACAAGGCAGCTCATATTTGATTTCATCGAAATAAACATAAAATTTTGAGTCACTTAAATTCTAACCAACTGCAATAACAATTGGTTGTAAGCTCTCACCGCGGTCGTAAAGAGAACTCTTCAGCTTTTCTAAACTGTTTTCAACATCGTTGGCCGTAATTACATGAAGGAGAAATGATATCTGCGAATCTTTGATGGTAGACCTGTAAATCTTTTTGACGCTATTCGCTTTTCGTTTTATAGTTGCACGCAGCAAAACATGTAGTGGTAGCGCTATGAGTTGGGCAGATCCTACATGTTCAACAAAAATTTATAAATTAAGTGCAACCCTTTATAAAATAAGTTGACAAACCTTTTATCTTCTGGTCCGACAACTTCTCACTTAAACACTCAAATATGACCAATCAACGCACCAATTTTTGCACGTAAAAATAAAAAAAAATAAAAAATAGGAGAGTCACACATTTATTAGTGAAAATTTCCCAAGTTGCGCAAAAGAATTACTAAATATCAACGGCATTTTTAGCAACCAAAAAATTCACTAGTCTGGCGAATTTTCCTAAATTTTGGACAAAGTTTGAAGCTTATATTGTAATGGTTTACATTATAAGATGAATTATATAAAAAAATGTATTAAAGCTGAATAGAAAACATAATAAAGGGTGAACACACCAAAACTGCGACACTTAGAAATTACTACCAGAAACAAACTAGCAGGCTTTGAAATTTTTTTTTTTTGTATTATATAACTTGGAAGTTTAGATGTTATTAAAATGTTAAAATATTAGTTATTATTTGCTCCATATGCAAGTGATCGGTATTTTCATCGCACACGCGCCATCATGTTCTGCACGACTGCATCATCGACTTTACGCGATGCGCACAACTACTTTGTTTTGCACTCTTCAATATTTTTCACTGTTTCAAGAGGACGTGGCTCTGGGCTATTGGGTGGATTGCAGTCGTGAGGTACAAAATTGATGTTATTTGCATTATACCACGGCAATGTGTCCTTGGCATAGTGGCAGGTTCCCACGTCCGCCTAGAACAGTGGCCTACTCCTTATCTGTTGATAAATGACAGAAGACGCCTTTTGAGGCACTCATCCCGATAAACTTGATCATTCATTGTCCCGGATGGGAAAAAAGGGCTGATCTTACGGCCACAGGATCAAATAGCTTGTCAAACCAAGTGGTTTTTTGGAAATTTGGACTTCATTTTCAGCTTACAACTTTCAGGGGCATCTTGACGACTTGCACCAGTATAAAAATCTTGACCTGCAATATATTTTGAATTTTTATAGCAGTAGGTTTCGTAGTCCATAACAATGCAGTTGTATTTTTTAATTTAGAATTCATACAACTTCCGAATGCGGGATTTCGCTGTAACATTCTACTTTGCGCCTCGGTCTGGCGCTGTTTGAGCTGTAGAACATCTCAATGAAGCTTTCCGCTTTACCTTTTGTACGAAAAACTGCGATCTGCGTACGGATTTTGCAACATAACGCGACAAAATCTTCGGATTTCGCGAAAACGCACTGAGGACCTTCCGAGCACTGTTTTTATCACTTTGACCATGCTAACCCCCGCTCCCTGGTTTTCTCTTAACTGCCAGGCCTTATTTGTACCGATTAAAACCCTGCAAACTGTCGAATAGTGCAATCTTTAATTTTTTAGCAATTTTACGTGTACTTAAGGCCGGATCATTTATAAACTCGTGCAAAATGGTTTGTCTCGTTTCTAACCGGTTGCCATTTTTAACTCAACTAGGAATCGAATTCAAATGAAATTTCTTCTACGTCCAACTAAGGTCATGTGGTCAGCTTATGGTATTTGAATTTCAAAATATTGAATTTGTTTTGGGTAAGTTATAAGCTTCCCAAAGTGTCGCAGTTTTGGCGTGTTCACCCTTTAGTTGTCCAAACTACTCAAAACGTCGTGCCTCTATTTCAAGGAACATCACTGTATAGGTATTGTATAACATTATTTGCAACAAAACAAGATATGTGTTGTACATTATAGCAAAAGGTCCTCTATATAGCGTTCAAAGTCATTTTCTCGTGAAGCTGTTTCAAAATTCACGTCTGGTTTTCGATCCCAAATGTTACCATGACTTTCATGAGTCTCATCATCTAAAGGTTTACTACAAGTACCGATTGGCAGAGACTTTTTCACTGTATTGTCATCAGATCGAAGATCGTTTTCATCAATCTGCATTTTAAGTTTACTCTTTTTGATTTGACGTTCAGTAGATCTTTTTAAGTGCTTAACTTCTCGTTTCCGCGATGTGTAATTTAATTGATCTGAATGCAGAGAACATAGCCGCAATTTGACCAGTGCATTTTTACGATCACCTTGCTCCCGATATGAAAAATTAACTTCCCAGCTTCGCAAGTTTTCTCTCTCTTCACATTTTCTGCTTCCACATTGAAACTGTCCTTTCCCTGTAACGACCTCGTTCTTAGTACGCCAACGAAGAGCAACTTTGTTATCTTTGTGACGAGTTAAGTCTGCTATACAATATTCCTTGAAAGTAAAAATACTGATATTAGATTTGATTTATTGCCTGAGATAAGCTGTAAAGTTTAACTAGTAATTTTTAGCAAAAAAAAACCGACTTCAACTCCCATATAAAAAAAAATAAATATATATATATATATATCTCATGATCCGCTGATCGGATCTTAACCAGATTAGTATGGGACCACCTCTGAGACACTACCTTTCCGCTGCAAAAAGAATTATCGAAATCTGTTGACGTGGTCCAAAGTTACGCGGTAACATACATAAAAAAAAAAAAAAATATTCCGACGAATTGATAACCTCCTCCTTTTTTGGAAGTCGGTTAAAGAATATATTCGTACATTAATTATTTGGATGTGCAATGGGATATTAAAAGAACTACAATCAAAATCAATTACAAAATTTGGACCACTCTAATGAAAATCATCGAAAATGTTTTTTTGGAATATTTCAAGACTCTACCCCCTGTTGTTCTTGTTGTTGTAGCGGCTACTAAGCCCCGTTCGGGGCGGTTCATCCATCAACATTGGGCTGTCCATAGGGACAGGGGCGTTAGCTGAGTGGGATTCTCAGGGCATGTGAAGAGGTACCGGGAGTCATGTGGCGACTCTCCAATGCCGGGCATTGGTTGGGCACATCCTCGTTGATTCTGCTCAGGTAGCTGTTGAGCCTGCGGCAATAGCCAGAGCGAAGTTGGGCTATTGTAGTGCGGGTCTCCCGAGGCAGACAAAGTTCTGTCCCGTCCACGTCCGGCGGTTGTGTGCCTAGAACGGCATTCACAGGGCGAGAGTCTACATAACTTGAGACTGATTCCCTGTGAATGCCGTTCAGGGCCTGTCGGTAAGTTGACGGGTCCAGAGGTGGTTTGATATACCTCTGGACTTCGTCTGTCAGTTCGTAAAGATGCCTCCTGACGTGCCGTGGCGAGGGCTCTTCCGCGAGCAGTTGCCCGCTGGGATGGCCACGTCTGTGGCTCCCAGCGAGGAACTGATTGCAGAGCATTATGTTATGCTCCTTTACAGGGAGCATCTGGGCGTCGTCATGGAGGTGGTGTTGAGGCGTCATCAGGAGGCATCCTGTCGCAGTTCGTAATGCCGTGTTTGGCAGGTCTGCAGCTTCATCCACTGCGTCCTGCTAGTCCCCGGCGACCATACAGGCGCTGCGTAGTTTAGAACCGGCCGGCCAATTGCCTTGTATGTTGCCAACAACGTTTCTTTATCTTTGCACCAAGTGCTGCAGGCCAGCGACTTGAGGACATTGTTACGGCTCTGTACTTTGTTGACAATTGCGGTTGTATGCGCCGAGAAGGAGAGCAGACTGTCGAAGGTAACTCCGAGGATTTTCGGGTTATTCACCGTAGGTATTGTTACGCCATCGACGTGAATACCCAGCGGCAGTCTGACCTTCTTCGTCCAGGTGGTGAAAAGGGTTGCCGAGGATTTTGCAGGGGATAGGGCAAGGCTCCTTGCAGTGAAGAAGCGAGAAAGTTCGGAGAGGTAACCGTTTACTTTTGAGCACAAGTCATCAATTCCATTCCCAGACGCCATGATTTAACAATCGTCAGCATACGAGACTATATTAACACCCTCTGGTGGCTGAGGAAGCTTTGATATCTAATAATTAAACAGTAGCGGGGACAGGACACCACCCTGTGGTACCCCCTGTTTAAGTTTACGTGGCTTGCTAGTTTTGTCTCTGAAGATTACTGACGAGTGTAGACCACTAAGGTAATTCGCCGACCACCGTTTGAGTCCCTGTGGGAGTGAGGAGACCTCTATATCATCTAGTAGCGTTGAATGACTGACAGTGTCGATCGCCTTGGACAGGTCCAACGCTACTAGAATTGTTCTCTCACAGGGGCGGTTTCGGTTTAGGCCACGAGTTATCTGAGTGTTTATGGAGTTAAGAGCTGTCGTTGTACTATGCACTTTACGGAACCCATGTTGATGCTTCGCTGGGGTCAGGTGGTTCGTGAAGTACGGGAGCAGCATGGCCTCGGTCGTCTTCGCTACCGGGGAAAGGAGAGTTATCGGGCGATAAGACTCTCCTTTGTTGGCTGGTTTCCCCGGTTTGAGCAGTGGGACCACTCTCCCCATTTTCCAGATGTCTGGAATGACGAGAGTGGCCATAGACAGGTTGAGGACCTCCGTTAGGTACGCTACTCCCGCAGGACCCAAATTTTTCAGCATCAACATGCATATTCCGTCGGGTCCAATGGCTTTGGAGGCTTTCGCCTTCCCGATGGCTACCCTTACCTCACCGCTGGTGAAAACAAGAGGCGCACTAGGTTTTGGCATTTTGTGCAGCCTTCTGGTCACTCGACGTTTGGCTTTATCCACCGGAGGATGCAGAATGAACTGACGGCTAAAATAGCTCGCGCATCTCTCCGGGTCCGACGAAGCGTGGTCACCAAAGTCTATCTCGACTCTGTCGTCGCGCTTCGTCGGGTTGGACAACGACCTCACTCTACCCCCTAATTTTATGCGCTTTTATGAGAAATAATATTGCCTATTTTTATAGACTTTTTTAAAGGTCATTTATAGGTCGCGACTAAGAATGATAGAATACAAGACTGCGCCGTCCTGGGCATTGACATTTGTGTACCACAAGTAAACAAAGAATAGAGCGAAAAGAAGAACGAGTTGAAACTGCCAAAACAGTTCACTTTACAGCGAAAAACGTGTTTTAATTTTGCTAAATGCGAAAAAAATGCATTTTTCACCTAATCTATTAGAGATTAGGTAACGTTTAAGTGCACTCCATTGCTTTGCAATTAAGGCTACTGCAGAAAACTGCGACAGCATCTCAGCGGGATTGATTAATTAACTAGCTAATGGAGGCTCCCTGGAGCAGAAGCAAAAGCATTGTGAGGAAATGCTGTTAATATAATAATAAAGAAACATTTCGGGAACGGCGTTGCCGTGCCCTTTGTACACAAAATGGAGCGATTCGTCCCAGCGCTACACTTGCATCTACGCATCTTTCATCTTGACGACTGTCGCAATTTAACACATAGCACTTTATTTTATTAGTTTTTATGCAGTCTTCAGCTCAAAAATCACTCACAAATTGCAAATTAACACAATTTAAACTGATTTTTCACTTATAATTCAAATTTCTCTTTCGCTGATTTGTAAACAAAGGTTTATTTACAAGTTACCACAACTGTCGTAGGTCGCGACTTGTCGATTTAGGTCAGAAAATGCAATTTTGTAGATTTAGGAGTTTTTGAATGACTATTTTTGATTTGATCGATGATAAACTAGTCTTTAACGAACACATTGATTATACTGTAGGCAAGATCGCAAAAAAAATATACTTTACGCAGAAACCTGCAGATACTTGAGTAGAAGGTATAAGACGATGGTATATAAATCTATAATCGAACCTCATTTTATTTATTGTCCAACTATTTTTTTCATAATGAGAGATAGTCAAATTTATAAACTGCAAAAGCAACAGAACAGAGCCATGCGATTCATCCATAGAAAACGTTATGACCAGAGCTGGGTAAATGCAATTACATTACAATTACAATTACATTCCTCAGTAATTGTAATTAGGATTCAATTCCTTTAGTTCACAGCAAAGGAATCGATTACTTTTTCAATTCCTTGAAGTAATTTCAAATGGAATTGTTTTTTTCTTTAATTCCATTACAAGGAATTTCATATTGTAATTGGAATAAATTACGTGCTAGTAATGTAATTTCTTTTATTTCAATTCCTTTGAAAGGAATTGGAAATGTAATTTTTTCCCAATTCCTTTGAAAGGAATTGAAAATGTAATTGATTTTTTTTCCAATTCCATTCCTCAAAGTAATTTAAAAAGTAATCGAAAAATTTAAGTAAACGCTAAAATTACACAAAAAACGCCGAGACGTAAAATTAATTTTAAGTAGTATGTTACGGATCTGTATACCGTTGTTTTAGATAAGGTCATTTAGTCAAGTTATTTTCATTTTAAGTTTTCATTGCGAATGAAAAAAATTCAAACTTTAACATGACCATACGGTCATGTACGATATGGCGTATGGGTAACATTATTTCCTGCTAGTATTTCATACAAAAAATTATTGCATGGAGAAAAATTTGCATGGTTGGAGAATGGGGCGTGGCACCTCCCATATAAACCGAACTTTTCATATTGCATATTTCTAGAAGTGTTCATGGTAGACTGTAAGCCTTTTTAAAACTATTTAGTTTGACACCCACATGCTAACATTTCATTTACTTTATCAATTTAACTGAGTTACAATTTCCAAATAGGTGGCAGCCCCCCAAACAGTTATCTTTCTTAAACCTCTTTAATTTGATACCCATATTGTAACATTTTATTTATTTTATCAATGTAATTTAGTTAAATTTTCAAACAGATGGCAACCCTCCTCAAACATATTTTCGGCAGTAAGCCTCTTAAAACTCTTTAGTTTGACACCCACATGGCAATATTTTATTTCTTCAACAATTTGACTGAGTTTAAATTTTCAAATAGGTGGAAACCCTCGTCAAAAATACTTCCAGCAGTTATCTTTCTTAAACCTCTTTAACTTGATACCCATATTGTAATAATTCATTAATTTTATCAATATAATTGGGTTTAAAAATTTTAAAATAGGTGGCAACCCTCCAAATTTTGGTTCTGGTATCATACCGAATAATAAAAAAAAAAATATTCAAATCGGTTCAGCCGTTCTCGGGTTTTGATGACCGTGACATACGAACACAACATTTTTATATATGTATATAGATATAGATATATACGATTTTAATCTTTGACCACAACAAAAATTCCATATTGTACATTCGTGAATGAACTTTCAGTTTCTCGATTACTTTTACAATTCCTTTGAGTAATTGAAAAACTAAAGTACTCTTGCAATTCCAGGTAATGGAATTGAAAAACAAAAATCAATTACATTTTCAATTCCTTTCAAAGGGATTGGAAAAAAAATTACATTACTAGCACGTAATTGATTTCAATTACAATATGAAATTCCTTGTAATGGAATTAAAGAAAAAACCAATTACATT